TCAGGTGGGAATGTACACCTGGGAGTCAGGAATCTGTTTTCAGACACCCCCCACCCCTGCCTCATTTTGAACCTTTGTCAGGCTCCTTCTCTAGGCCTCATTTTCCCCCATGTAGGTTTCGGGTAGATGAACTTTACAGTCTCTGAGGCCCCATAGAGCTCTTACAGTCTACGTTCCGAAGTTCTTTCTGGCTGTCTTTCCATGTTGTCTGGGTTTTCTGTCCACCTCACATTTTTAGCCCAGGGCTGGACTCACTGTCAGCGGTGAGTATTGGTTGAATTCAGTTGACTCCTGTTAACCAGAACCCTTCCAGAACAGTCACCTATAGGGGGTGGTAGCCCCATGGCCAGAGGCCAGCCCTGCCCCAGGGTGCCTATTATCACCTGGTGTAGAGGGTGGGGTGGGGCTGAGGTCACTTGAGCCCCTTTGGCTTGGAGCAGAGGATTGCTTGGGAGGATGAAGTGACATCTTACCACAGTGCCTGGCGCACAGTGGGTGCTTAACACATGTTTTCTTTCTCCCCTCTTTCCCCCCTTCTTCCTTCTGCTAGAGAGACATTTCTCAAACCCAGCAGAGGCTGGGTTTTGATCTTATCCCTTCCTCCCCTTGCGGATTCTTCATAGCTTTCCCCTTTCCTACAGAATTAAATATGATCTTAGCCTGGCATTCAGACCCTTCCACACTCCGTCTTCTCAGGTCCCTTTTCTTGGCTGAGCTACCCACCATTCCTGAGCATTCAGGCATCCTTGCGCCAACACCGCTTTCTTCCCCTCCTCTGGTCTCTACATGTTTCCATTCGGCCCCTGGGATGCCTCTCTTGGAGGACCTTACTTATCCCAGTACCTTGGGCTCCTTCTCTGCTTGGCATTCAGATTTCCATTACACTTAATCAGCATGCAGGTCTTGATTCTAAGTGCCCTGAGAGTAAGGGCTGTGTCTCACATCTTTCCCTCAGGCCTGAGTACAGGTGTTGCTCCTAATAGGTGTTTTACACATTTTCTGAATGCTTAAAAGCCCTTCCCCTGACTCCCTCCCTCAGTTTGACCAGATTTTGCCAGTGTGCAGGGCTGGGGACCTGAGCGTCTAATCACAGGACCAAGGGGTCTCTCTGCCCATGAACTTTGGGAGCTGAGCAGGAAGGAGCTCCCAGACCACTTAGTACAAGCCACCAGAGGCACCCTGGCTTAACAGACGAAGGCCGAGATTCTGGTGCTGCCCTTGTGTCTTGATTTAGGGTGGGAGCCTGGAGAGGGAAGGTCACAAGGACATAGTTTGAGACTTGGAAAGGATTTGTCCAGTGCAGTCCCCGAGAGAGGCTGACTGAGCTGGCCAAGCTCCCACAGGTGGGAAACAGAAGGGTGACCATTCGAATCCAGCTGTGCTTACTGCCAAGCTAGCACTCTGTAGACCATGCCAGAGCCGGGTAAGCTCTTGGAGTTTGTCCAGTCTAACACCTTTGTGTGATGGAGAGGGAAACTGGAGCCCCGCTGACAGATGGGCGTTCACCGCCCCATGTCACAGGGTGGCTAGGCTGTGTCCTGGGGAGGGGCGCTTTTCCATGACATGCTGGGAGTCCAGAGGGAGGGAGGCTGGCTGGGTATGAGCTCCCCACTGGGTAGAATTTGAGTCTGACTTTGTTTCTGTTGGCAAGGTGATCAACAAGCATTCATTAACCTTACATTCTATTGGAAGACTATACATTCATATGTCAGTGTAGACAGCAGAAATACAAACACAAATTAGCAGCAGTTTGGGAGGGGGGCACTAGTACATGGCAGGGGAGATCAGGAAAGCTTCATGAAGAAGCTCCTCCAGTTGCTTCTTGAAGGAAGAGAGAGCACTCCAGGTGTGTGGCATGGCCAGTGCAAAGGCCCAGGGCCTGGAGATGGAAGTGGTGTGTATGAGAGACAGAGAAAAGGCCAGTGGAGTGTATTCTATGGATTCTAGTGCGGGAGGGGAGTGAGGACCACTGAGGCTGGAAAGACCACAGAGGGACAGGAAAGAGCTCAAGGCACTAACCAAGAGGAAATGGCTTTCTGGGGCTTAGTAGAGCTGAAACGGAGATCTGCAACAGCTCCCCATCTAGCCAAGTGGTTCCACTCCACCCACCCCCCACACTGTCATCTGCTCTTCCTGTTGAAGATCTAGGCCCTTGGGGTTGCTCGTAGTCTTAGAACTGGGAGAGACCTCGGGGTTATTTAGTTCTGCCTGCTCCCTAGGACAGGCCTCCTACAGTGCCAGAGGCACACTAGGGATGGTGGGGTCCCCCAGATGGAGAGTCAGAAGTGAACTGGGAGGCAGGCCGGCTAGCCCAGTGCTGCCGTTTGATTTGATTCTTGTGCCTGGGTCTCCCTCTCTTGCCATCCCTGGGCCCAGATCATGAGCCCTAGCCTGGTAGCTTATCCCATGCCTCATCGGTAGCAGAGGTTTAAGTGACTTTGCCAGAGTCATACAGCCAACTTGCGTCCAAGCTGAGATGTGAACCCTAATTCTCTGGATCCAGGCCACCCCCTCATTTTATCAGTGAGAAAACCAAAGCCTTCCAAAGCCCGTGGCAGAGTTGTCGGGGATTGGCACTCAGGTTTGGTGACTTTGTCCATATACACTCCTGCTGCCCTGTTTCCTTACCTGCATCATCTGGCCCCTGCTTGTGTGCCTTGGTGGGGGCTGGTGCCCAGGAGTGAGCACCATCTCCACCCGCCCTCCTATGTGAGCAGCCATCAGGAGTCTCCCCCAATGTTGGCCTGGAGGCATGGAGGCCTGGAGCGAAGATTCCCACTGGGCATGAGAGAAAGAAGGCCCAGTGGCCTTGCCCCAGGCCACCCATCACTTCATTGTCACAACCAGGAACCCAGGGTCCCTGCCTCCCAAGCCCGTGTGCTTTCCATCCTTCCAGGGACATGTCTTTGTACAGAACTCCGAGCCTGGGGAATTCTGGCCTCATCTGTGGTCCTAGGCATAGGTTCTCTCTCCCCTTGCAGGACCGTGGGCCCAGACTTCCAGGTCTAAGGAGATCTGTGAAGGAGCATGGCCAGAGAAGGGGAGGGGATAGGGCCAGGAGGGCCAGGCTTCAGTGGGCCCCCAGCAGGTCCTGGTTTCCCTGGCCCTGGCCCCCTTGGAGTCAACAATAACTCGATGCCCCGGCCCAGCCGTTATTAACACAAGGGTGGTTTCAGGTGGACTTTGGAGCCCCAGTGAGGGTCAGCTTACCAGTATTGGGGTGTGAGGCCTGAGTACAGTTTATCCTTTGTGACCCCCAGGGAGGACCGAATGATTCCTCCAGGGTAAAAGCAAGGGGGCCACCAGGGGTCTTACCTGAGCAAAGCGGCCAGAATCTGTGGCTGCTGCTTTTGCTTCCCAGAGAGATGGCACCAGCAATACAGGGCCAGTGTGGTAGCCCCCCAGAACCCAGCATTTAGCTCAGCTCTGTGTTGGGAGAGAGTGAGTAGGGAGGATCCTTGGGGCTTGGGTAGAGTTAGACCTGCCCCACCCCAGCCACCCACATATTCCATAGTCCAAGGGGCTTTTTTCCCTTCCCCTTTCTGGGGGTGCCCCCCCCCCAGTGAGAACTGTGGGACCTCCTGAGGCAGGAGAGCCGAGCCCTTGGGCCGCTCTTTGCCCTCCCCTTGCTGCGCTGGGATCACCTCAGGGCAGACTGGGGGAGAGGGCCCCACTGGGTCCTCCAGTACAGTACAAGCAGGGGGGTTCAATGCAAAGCTGGCCTCAGCCCTGCCTGCACCCAAAGCTTCTGGCCTGACATCTGTGCTCGAGGCAACTCTCAGTGAACCTGCAGACTGGTCGCTGTTGCTCTACCTCTGGTGTGGAGCAAATAACCCTTCTAGGAATTGGGAGAGTCCTGGGTTGGCATCTGGCTTCCAGCATTTACCGCAGGTTATCCTGCAAGCTCTCAGAGCCTCAGCGTCCTCATCTGGATATTGGGGATACTCTTGTTCCTCTTGTACTGACCTTGCAGAGTTATTGAGGATCAAATAAGATATGTAAATAAGATATGCCTTATGTAAAAGCCTGCTGTTCTGGGGCTTCTCCTTGGCCTGACCTCTGTTCTGAGCACCCTGGATGTTTGGTAATCTTCAGTGTTAGAGACCGCGAGCCTCCCGGAAGGACTGGCCATGCTGTCCTTTCCCAATCTATTTCCTCCCTCTCCTCAACTTCTCTTCCCTGGAGCTGAGCAGATAGACACCCAGCTGCCAGTCCTGGCCCTGTGCCCAGGGAAGTGCCAGCATGGCACGTACCAGGCAGCCTGCTCTTGGGCCAGCCTCCCTGTCTGGGCCGATGGCTAACTGGCCAACACTCGCTGTCTGATCTGTACTCAGCACTGTGTCCTTCAGGGGGGAAAACAGAAGGGGGTTTCCTTTGCCTCCTGCCTGATGGAAAGCCCAGACCCTAGGAAGGGGAAGCGCGAGTGCCCTTGACTGGAGGGGCTGGCCTCGGAGTGCAGGGGAGCTTTGCTTCTCAGCTCAGGCGCTTGTTTTAAGGGCAGGTTGCTCAGTGTCCTGGCAGCTTTGTTTCCTCATCTGCATTTCCACAGCCTACCTCATGATCTTGAGAGTAAAGAGATTTTTAAGCCTTAAAGTATTGTATAAATTGTAGCTGTTCCATTGTCTTGGTGCAGTTTTCATAAGAATCTAACCACTGCGTGACCTTGAGCAAGTCTCTTTCCCAGTCCGTGGATGTTAGTTTCTTCCTTTATAAATCGAGGGGCTTAGACAGGTTGAGCCCATGTTTGCTGGAGGTGTTCTGCGCCACTCCATTGATAGCAGAGGGCACCCTTTGGGGATGGCAGTCCTGCAGTGAGGTTGGTAGGAGCAGGGAAGGCAAGTGCCATTCCCAAGCAAGTTCTGCAGTTTGGCGGGGTCACCCACCTCGGCTCTATGAGCTTTGAAAGGTTGAGCATCTATGGGAGAAGACTAACGTGGCCCTTTTCTCTCCTGCGTGTCCCCCTTTACTCTCCTCCTGACTTGGTCATCTCCTCACCGCAGCCCAGAATGTGACAGTGGAGGAGATCATTGGCGCCTACCAGCAGGCCTGCCACAAACTGAACTGCAAGCAGATCCCCAAGCTCATCAAGCAGATCCAGGTACCTCAGGGCCGGAGGGAGTGGGGTGACCAAGGCGGAGGTCTGCTTCAGCTCTCTCCTCCTCTCTTGACACTGGCTTGGAGCTGGAATTTGAAAGGTTCTAGACTAAGACAGAACCTGTGTTCTGAGGGCCCTCTCGTCATTGACTTTCCCTGTTCTAAGGGCCTTCCTAGCTCTGACGTTCACTCTTTCACGCTCTACAGTCACTCCCAGATCTGACTTTCTTTAGTCAGAAAGCCAAAAAATGCTATCCCTGTGTAATAGTTTGATTCCCAGTACTCTGACTCATTTCATTTCCTTTTCTGCTGACCTGGAGCTGTAATGCACACAAGGTGACCAGCTGAAGACCACATGGCCCACATAGGGATAGATTCCCTGATGTACCTTAACACCCCCAGCCCTAGTCTCTAAGTCCAGACTGGATCAACGCTCTTTCCTCAGTTTCCTCAAGTGAACCCTGTGGGGGCAGCTTGTCTCTGCTACAGAGCCAGTTGTGGAAGAGTCAGGATTCGGGGGTTATTTGTTTCTAATAGTGATGACGTGGTGCTGAGAGGAGAGCCTGAAGGCCTGGGTGGACCTTCCTCTGCCATCCAGCCTGTACCAAATGGAGTTCCAGAAAGTCACACAGGGACATTGTTGGGGACCTGCCCAGGGCCACAATAATAGTAATGAGAGAGCTGGAATTTGAATTCACGGCTCATGGCTCCAGGGTCCATGTTTTAGCTTCTTCCCTTTGTATGTCTTTTTCCTACCCCAGATCTCTAGATGAGGGTGACAGGTGACCTCTCAGAGACCATCTAGCTGTGACCATGGATCTCCTTGGTCCAGGGTGCTATGAGGCACTGACATTCTCACCGCCTGCCTTTATTTCTTGCAGGAGTTTACAGACTTGGCACACCGAATTGACTGCCTTGATCTGAAAGGTTGGTGTCCAGAGCTGCATGCGTAGATGGGGTGGGGCCCCTCTCCTTAGCCTCAGGCATCTGGGCAGAGGATCAGGGGTGTATGGCGGTGGGTGTGGGGGCTGGGGAACAGAAAAGAGGGTTGGAGTGGGGCGGGAGAGGCCTGGGTTCTAATCCTACCTCTGCCCCTTGCTCCTTGGGACACTGGGCACGTTACTGAGGGTCATACTTGGTGATCTTTGAGGTTCCTGCCCACTCTAGATACCGTTGTCCTAAGCGGTGAGGGGAGGCTGGAGCCCTGTGAGCCAGGGAACCCAGGGCACGGGTTTGCTGGGATCAGGGACCAGGCCGGGGTTGGGCGTCCAGAGCTCCAAGATTAGACCAAGCAATGGTTCGCACCGGGGAGGACAGCCAGAGGTCCAGGGAAAACACAGAGACCCAGAAGCATTGAAAAGCAGACTGGGAGCACCTCAGGAAGGCAGGGGGTGAAGCCTGAGCCATGGGGCCATCGGCTGACAAGACCTGGGGGGGATGGTGTGTCCAGGGTGAGCATGCTAATTGTTGCACAGGAGTGTTCTCTTGAGGGTGGGGCAGGTCTCTGTCACAACTAGGGGAGAGAACAGATCTCTAACTAGAATCCCTGCTGACCTTTAGAAGATCTCATAATAGCTTGAAACAGACCCCTGCCTCAGAACTCACTCCTGCCTCCCTGGCATAATGCCACCTGGATGCCCCAGGTGGGGGTGGGGGAGGCCTTTGTGTCGGGTCCTCACTTCCTGATGCCTCTGATTCCAGGAGAGAAGCTGGACTACAAGGCCTGTGAGGCCCTCGAGGAAATCTTCAAGCGGCTGCAGTTCAAGGTGGTGGACTTGGAGCAGACAAGCCTGGATGAGGATGTGAGTGGGGCCCCTGACCACAAGGGAGCTGCCGGGGAGCTGGCCTGTGGGGTGGGCCAGGGGCCCCTCTGCCAGCATGAGGACGGCAGGTTGGGAGCTCCTGTGCCCACCCCCACCTCCTCTTGTCTTGGTATTGCCAGGGCCTAGCACATGCTTCCCCACTGGCTGGTGGGCAGGGGCTTGGCAAATGAAGCCCCATCTCTGTGGGACTTTGTGGTTCATCTGACTCACAGCTGCCCAGAGGGGGAGGCCTGGCAGGAACTTGGGACTCCCAGGCCCTCTCGTCACCTGCAGGCGCCTCCTTCCCTCAGGGCGCTTCTGCGTTGTTTGACATGATAGAGTACTATGAGTCGGCCACCCATCTCAACATTTCCTTCAACAAGCACATCGGCACGAGAGGCTGGCAGGCCGCTGCTCACATGATGCGCAAGGTCAGTGTTCACCTTCAGGCCTTGGGGGGCCGTGGGGCAGCTTTGAGCCCCCTCCGAGATCTCCTTCAGCGCACCTTCTCTGTCTAGTTTCTGCAAGAAGAGATCTAAATGGCACAGCCACCTCTGCTCTGCAGCATTGGGTGGGCTAGGGGCCAGAGGCTTGGGAAGTGGGCCTGCTCCCATGGGAGGCAGCATCATGTCTCTGTGGGTCTTCCCTCACCTCCAGCATCACGGCGTGTTCACTCATGGAGCCAGGGAAAGTCTGGGCCTGTCTTCCCCCGGCCCCCCGAGTAGCGTGTTGTTGGCAAGTCCCCCTCGGATCGGAGAGCCCCCCCGCCATGTGCACACACACGCCAGCGTGTCAGGGGAGCAGGGAGCAAAAAGGATGCTGAGTGCCCCCCTCAGCCTCAGGCAGAGCATTTGGGTTTGGGTGTAGAGCCATCAGAGGTCTCTGAAGACCAGCCACGTGAACGCTCGACAGGGGTTTGCTTGGGGTGTTCTTGTGAACGGAGAGCCGGAGAAGGCACGGAAGGGAAAACATGGAGGTGAGACTGGAGGCCCGAGGAGGCATGGGTTAGGAGCTCCGGGTTCTGACCTGATGCCCCTCTGGCCCCTGCAGACAAACTGCCTGCAATACCTGGATGCCCACAACACCCCCCTGCTGGACCACTCCGCCCCATTTGTGGCTCGTGCCCTGCGGATAAGCAGCAGCCTCACTGTGCTGCACCTGGAGAACGCCAGCCTGTCAGGGCGCCCACTCGTGCTTCTTGGTGAGTGGCCCGGCTGTCAGGCTTGTCCCCGGGATTGGGGAGGAACACAGATAGACTTTCCAGGCCAGGTGCCCTCTTGTGTGACCTGTGTTGAAGGAAGGGATTCACTTGAGCTCACGCAAGCAGGGAATTAGCGGGAGAGGCGAGACTCCATCCACATCTCCTGGGAACAGCTTCTGCTCCTGCCCTGACAGGCGGGGTGGCTTTGTGCAGCCCCCTGCCCTTCCCTTCCCAGGCCTCAGGGCCCTCTTGGTAAAACCACGCTTGGATTCTCAGTTTTTTGGCCCTTTCAGACTTCCGGGTTCTTAAAGTCTGACTCCTCCCATGTCTGTGGTCCCAGGCTAAGGATGTGGTCCTTCCCTGGGATTGTAGCAGCATGATAACGCATGGCTCGGTGGCTTCCACCGGGGCTGGGGAAGGTGTGGGCCCGAGGGGGCACAGGGAGGGCGGCATTTGGGCTGAGCCTCCCGTTGGGCCCTGGCAGCCACCGCCCTCAAGATGAACATGAACCTTCGGGAGCTCTACCTGGCTGACAACAAACTGAACGGACTCCAGGACTCAGCCCAGCTCGGGAACCTTCTCAAATTCAACTGCTCCATCCAGATCCTGGACCTCCGGAACAACCATGTTCTGGACTCAGGTGGGCAGGCGCAGCTGCCTCCACTGGGGGGGGGGGGGGGGGGGGGCTAATCTCTTCCTGTACAGAAACCATCTGAAAGGAAAGCTTCCTGCCTCAGTTTGGCGGAAAGGTCACTAGTAGGCCAGAAACCTCGATTCCCTGACTTGATGGGAGACCACGGGCGTGTCTCTTTTCAGCCCGCAGACTCTCCGTCTGGTAAAGTAGGGCACCGAGAGGGCCCCAGTGCCTCGCCCTCTGCTCCGTCAGAATGGGCCGGCAGCTCTCTGTCCCCATGTTCATCCTTGTCCTGCCCTCGCTACCCAGCCTGGGCTTGTTTCTCGAATTATCTGTATCCCCTTTCCCTCCCCTCTCCTCTCAGACTAGAAATAGGAGACTTGGGGAGAGGGAGGGAGAGAAGCTGAGTAGGGCCCAAGAATCCCGCCCCAAGCAGCCTCCAACTTGTTCCCCCAGGTCTGGCCTACATCTGCGAGGGCCTGAAGGAGCAGAGGAAGGGGCTGGCCACTCTTGTTCTGTGGAATAATCAGCTGACACACACAGGCATGGCTTTCCTGGGAATGACGCTGGTGAGTTAACATGCACGGGGACGGACATGAGAACGTGGGACGGCCTCAGATTTTACAGATAGAAAAGGTATCTGAAGCCAAGAAAGAGATTGGCCCAGGGTCCTGGAATTGATCAGAATCGGAAGTCTCTTGGCTCCCAGGGGGCCTTTCCATCCAACTTAGGACTGGGAAAGGTGGGAAGGGGGCTGGAGAAGGGCACGAGCAAGGCCATGGAGGGTTTGACTTCGGACTGATTGGTCTGTCTCCCTTTGCTGGGGCACCAGCCCCCTTGTTTCCCAAGATCCCACTTTTGTAGTAAGTAAATGAGAGTTGGGAGCCCTGAGGGGTGGTCTAGAGGCCTGGGCCCAGAGTGTCTGCCCCTAGTTCAGGAACTTTTGACTGGATACTGTAATACAGCCTGAGAGAGCCTTTGACACGTGCCTGAGACATTGATTTCTAGTGTGGCAGTGTGCTGCCTCCTGGCGGGGAATGTTGAGTGGGAGGTTTCGAGAGGGCCTGACGAGCCCCTCATTTCAGAGAAGGAAGGTGAGGTCCAGCAGGAGGGAGCCCGGTCCTCGGACTGCTGGCACACCCCTGGCCTGGCCTGGCGGCACCTTCAGTCCTCGAGCTTAGCCTGGGCTCCCCTTGCCCTTGTGTGTCTCCCCAATTTCTCTTGTCCTCAGCCACATACCCAGAGCCTGGAGACTCTAAATTTGGGCCACAACCCTATTGGAAACGAGGGTGTCCGGAACCTCAAAAATGGACTGATTGGGAACCGCAGCGTCCTGCGCCTGGGGCTGGCCTCGACCAAACTGACATGCGAGGGTGAGGGGCCATGCGGGGCTGGGGTTGGGGGGCCTCAGAGGGAAGCTGGGGAGGTCAGAGTAGAGCAAAGGCGCAGGGGCCAGGGCTGAGAAAAGAGGAGGAGCTGAGCCAGGTGTGTCGGGGAGGAGACAAAGGAACCTGAGCCTAGAGGCGGAGGCCTAGGCTTAAGAGGAGTCAGAGCTTAGGGGGGGTCCAGGCCCCGGAGGCCCCTAGGCCACAGCCACCTCTGAAGGCAGCTTGGGCACACGTGGTCTCTTATGTCCTTTGGCCTGGCTCAGGGGGCCCTCTTTTCTCACTGGTGGCCCTGGGTGGGCTTGGCCTCGTCCCCAGGAGCCGTGGCAGTGGCAGAATTCATTGCTGAGAGCCCTCGCCTGCTTCGGCTGGACCTTCGGGAGAATGAGATCAAGACTGGAGGGCTGATGGCCCTGTCCTTGGCCCTCAAAGTCAATCAGTCGCTGCTGCGCCTCGACTTAGACCGGGAGCCCAAGAAGGAGGCAGTAAGTGGGGGGCCCCCATCTCCTGGGTGTTTGCCTCAGCAGAGAGGTTTCCAGGCATGGGCTCGGGCCGGGGGGCCAGCGGATCCTGGGTGCATGATCCTCCCTGCAGCAACCCTGTCTGCACCCTTGGTAGGTAAAGAGCTTCATTGAGACCCAGAAAGCCCTCCTGGCAGAGATCCAGAACGGCTGTAAGCGCAACTTTGTCCTGGCCCGCGAGGAGGAGGAGAAGGAACAGCAGCTACAGCTCTCAGCCTCCATGCCCGAGATCACGGTCACCGAGCCTGCCCAAGAGGAGGCCGCTGTGCTGGGAGAGCCAGCAGAGGAGGCCCAGGAGAACGGGCACTTGGGTGGGGCCGGGCCTAAGGCCCCGGGGCCAACCGAGGACTCGGATTCTGACACTGAGGAGGAGGAGGACGACGAGGATGATGAGGAGGACTATGGTGGCCGAGAGATCCAGGAGACATGTCGTCCTGAGGTTCAGCTTTCTGGGAACTCCCTGAGCTCCAGGGATAGGACCCCTCCGGGCAGCCCAGCCCCCTCAGCCCCAGAGGCTCTGCCTGAGAGCCCCAGTGGGCCCAGGCCAGAGGTGCCGGGCACTGAAAAACGCATCTCGGTGTCCAGCCCTGGCAGAGGACACAAAGTATTTGTGGTGACTCGGGTAGAAAGCCCCCCAGAAAAGGTGGGCGAGGCCCATGCCCTGCAGACTGAGGCCCCAGCCAACAGGTCAGGGGTCAGCCCTGGCCCCGGCCCTCCAGACCTACCACTGCCCAATGGGCTGAAGCCAGAGTTTGCTCGTGCACTGCCCGATGCCCCTGCCAGCCACGGAGGATCAGAGGGCAAGGGTTCAGGCTGTGGCCTAGAACATGGTGAGCGTGGGCCCTGAGCCGGCGGGTGACCCCAGCAGTATGTTCACCCGCATCCCCGGGGCCCTTCCTCCTAGCTCACAGACGAAGACGCCAGAGCCCAGTTTGAGTCATTTGCCCGAGGCAGCTCGCCCAGTTGGTGACGGAGTTGAGAGTCAAACCCAGCTTTTCTGAGCAGTCTGGACACAACCCTGTGCCGTGCTGCCTCAAGTGCTGGTGCCAGAATCTCAGCCCCGTCACTTACTCCCTCGGTGACCTGGACCACCTAAGCCAGAGTGGTCCCCAGCACCCCGGCTCCCTGCTGCTCTTAGGAGCCCTGAAATCTGATGGGATCTGAGAGTGAGCGCAGGCCTGTCATGCGAGGACGCGCAGGCTCACAGAGGGAAGGGACGGGTGTGTGCAGGGCCAGGATGAGAGAGGCCTTGACATTGGTTCTAAGTAGCGAGGCTGTTGGCCAGGACAGGAGCCGGGTCAGACGGCCACACATACCTCCCGTGCCTCCTCGGGCGAGTCATTCAGCAACATCGAATATTGAGAAAGGGCCCGGGGGCAGGCACGGGCAGGCCCCTGCCCTGGGAATGCTGCCAGGAGAGCAGGGGCAGTGAGCGGATGTACCGAGGGCTGGGATGGGGGAAGGGGGCAGCATTCTGCGGCTCTTGGGGTCATTCTCACAATATTCCCTCTGCTCTTTTCTGAACCCATAGAACTTAGCTGCTCCAAGAACGAGAGGGAGCTCGAAGAATTACTTCTGGAAGCCAGTCAAGAGTCAGGACAGGAGACACTGTGACACCTGAGGTGAGGGGGAGGGAGGCGGTCTATGGGGTGGGGGGCCGAGGAAGTGAGATCTGACTGGCTCATCCCTTCTCTTCTCCCCCTAGATCTTTCTCTGGTCAGGCTTCAATGATCTGAGGCCCCGCCCTGTGCCCCGGATCCAGACCGCCCTCCATTCCAGCTCTCCGGGATGGGGGCCCGTCCTGGGCCAGTGTGGCCCCCGGGGCTGGGGGCAGCAGGTGCCTGAGGAAACACTACAAGGGACCCTTGGGAAGCAGATGAGTCCCCTTCCTTCCCTGGTCCCCCAGGTCCCCATCTCAGCACCTCTATTTATTTCCCCCTCCCCTCTCTGAGGAAGGACCAGAGCCTAGGCCGGGCAGGCCCAGGGGCTGGAAGGAGGTGGGTTCTCTCAGGGAGGCACGGGGAGGGCGGTGATGGTGAACGGTACCGATCTGTGCTGTGACTGAGGAGCATTAAAGCCGAGATGTTGGGGCGTGGGGGGCGGCAGGAAGGGGGCAGGCTGTGGAGATGGAGGGGGAGCCGCGAGGCTCAAGATCCAAGCAAGCCTCCACTCAAGTGCAATAAATTTATCAGGGAGCTAGGAGGCGTCCAGGTGGCCCCCTGGTGGGCAGACGGGCTCCCTTGCAGGGGCAGGGAGCCCGCTTCTTGGCATTCCGCCTGGAGATGGGCCTCAGAGAGAGGGAACGGGGTGACGGGCAGGGAGGAGACCCTCCCTGCAGCACACATCTCTGCTCAGACTTTTTCTATTAAACGCCTCCGTCGCCAGCATGGGTAGCCTGATTCCTTCTTACGCCTTCCTGTGTTGACCCAGGGGATTAATGAAAACCTTCATCATGTATAAAGGGCACATTTTCATCTGCAGCAACTCGGGCCATGTCAGCAGAGAAACAGGAGGACCAGGTCAAGGAAGCAGCATGATAGGATGGGGCTTTAAGAGGCTGAGGAGGGGGTCAGAGAGCAGGAGGCTCAGGCCCTGCCCGTGGGGGAGTTGGGGGGGGGCCTGCACCCTAGGGCACTCTCATGTGGCCGGTTCTGCCGTCCACTTAGGGCAGCTGCTCTCAGGCGATGGGGATGGATGGGAGGCCTAAGCTCAGACACCGTGGAATGTCACAGCTGTAGGCCTGTCCTGGCCTCCTGACATCCTGAAGGTCCCAGAGTGTGTCTGACATGGAGGCTGGCCCACACTGACTGACATGGTGGATAGGCCCATCTTCTCTCATTGGCTGGGCAGTTTGGATGAAGTCCCTTCCCATTTCCTCTGTCACATTTGATCCCTAAATGCCCCGCCCTTTGTGAGACGGAATAACTAACTGGTTGGACAGGTGGCCCCAGAGCTGGGAGTGAGTGCTGAGTCTCCCCCAGACTTCCTTTGCCTCGGATGGGGCCAGCTGGGAGGCAGAGCCATAATTAGCTAGCACAGCAGAGGAGCCTGGGAGGTACCAACACGAGCTCATGACAGATGCTGGGGTGGGGCATCCTCCGGAAATGCCAATTTACCCAGAGGTTGGGATGATCCGTCTGAGTGGGGCAGGAGGTGGGGGTGAGGCCCTTGCACACCCATGTGTCATCCATTTGCCTGGGACACAACATGTCCTTCCCAGGTTTTCTCTGGCCCCTTTTTGCCCTTCTACCCCACCACATCTCTCTCCTCATCCCTTCTTCTGGCCCAGGCCTACCATGCACAGTAGGGACGTAACCCTTGAAACACAGTCTGACCATGACATGTCTTTATTGCACTGAAGGGGGGGGGGTCCAGTTTGGTCTCCCCACGTGTGCACACACACATATACACACACTGCTGGGAGACCACCCAGGCCCCAAGTTAATAACACTGCTTCACCGGGAGGTGGAAAAGCGGAGCCTCGTGTCCTGTGAGTGAGCCCCGATGAGGTCCAGAGGCAGCCAGGGCCTGCCCCTCGTTTGCAGGACATCGGGCCTCTCACTGCTGGCCTTGACCCACTGTCTGACTGCCACTGCCTTGCTCGTTAGCATTCAGGAATGAGGGGGATGGGACCCCTCCCCCAAACTCAAGAGATGTTGGACTTGCCAGCGTGGAAGGGCCGGTCCCGCAGGGGGGAGGGCGGCTTCTCTGAGCGGGAGGCAGAGCTGTGAGGGTCACTACCTGGCGGGTTGAGGGCACGGATGCTCCGGATGAGCCCCATGCGGCGGCGGATGGAGTGGTCTAGGTTGACGGTGCAGCAGAGCAGGCTTTGAGCCTCCGCCACAGTAAAAGGGAAGTCGGTGCCCAGGAAGCGGGCAAAGAGCTCCGGGTCGCCGTCCAGGTCCACCACGTTCTGCAGGGCCTTGGTCATGGTGTGGAGCTCGCGGCTGTTGTCTCGGAAGATGCCCCAGAGCGGAGCCTGCGGGTCAGGGCCGCCCTCCACCTGCTGGCGGTCTTCTAGGCACTGCAGGGCCCAGCTTAGCCGGCAGGGCCACTGGTTGGCCAGGACCACCCAGGCCACGGCCTGACGCGGCGTCGGCCGCATGGCCCCGCCCCGGGCCTGGTGCTCCTGCAGCAGCCTTACCGTGATGGGCACCGTGTTCACGATGCGCCGCATGGAAACCACGTTGTCCGGGATGTACTCGTACAGGCAGTCCTGCTCGTCATGCAGGCAGAAGAGGGCCTCCTGGATGCGCTGCCCGGCCTCTGCCTCTATGCGGCCCTGGTCCTGCCCACCTGCCACCTCCACGTGAAGCAGCTCCGTGCCCTCGGCCTCGGGGGGGGCCCCTTTCTGGCTGCCCCGCAGCTGCCGTGTGATGGCCCGGTAGAGCAGGTCGTCCCGGCTCTGTACGGCGTCTTCCAGAAAGCGCAGCTTGGTCCGCCGCCCCATGATGGGCACAGAGAACGGCAGCGTGACGGTGCGGTTGAGAAAGAGGTAGCCGTTGTCGGCCACACCCTTCATGGAGCCCGCGCTCTCGAGGCACGAGGCCAGGATGTGGGGGTCCACCACCAGGATGAAGATGAACGGGGCTTGGCTGTCCGACAGCAGCGTGTTGATGGCGTTGAGCACGCCCACGACGCGCTCCGGGTAGCAGGTGTCGAGGCCGGTGACCTCCAGGACGATCCGGAGCCGCCGCCGCTGAAAGATCTCCAGGAAGCAGATGTAGTTGGTGAGCAGCTCCACCTCCTTCTTGACCTCACACATGAAGCCCAGCTGGCTCCCAAACTTCTCCCGCGTGACCAGCCTCTCGATCTTCTTCCGCTGGCTCACAAACAAATGTTTGCCCACTGAGTACAGGGCCATGAGCAGGCCGGAGCCTGACAGGGTGGTGGCTGCGCCCCCAAACACTTTGAGCATGCTTCCGTGGCCACCCCCTTCCCGCCCAGCACCCCTGCCACTGATGGAGAGGTAGAGGAGGCCAATGCCCAGGGCCAGGGCCGCGGCCAGCGCCAGGATGATCAGGCACACCCTGCGGCGGCAGTGCCACTCGCGCTGGCAGCAGTCCGGGGCCATGGCCGGCTTGTTGCCCACCACGGTGTAGAGGCTGAAGGGCAGCGCCCCATAGTGGCCGCGGATGCCGTCACACAGAGTGGTCACCAGCCCGGCCCACAGCTTGTCTGTGCCCGCGTACTGCCAGGCGCTGAAGCGGATAAACAGGAACTGCACATTCTTCCGACGCAGGTGGAGCTCCGTGATGACGGGCTGGCAGAAGACCAAGTACCAGAGGAGCTGCGGGAAGCCCCAGCCGTGCACCGGGCGAGGTTTCCATTGCGCCTGGTGGAGCTCCTCTGCTTCCCGCTGGGCCGCCTCCTTCTGCATGAGGGCTTGGGGAGAGCCAGAGCAGGAGCCAGGGTCAGCCGGGCTGGCCGCCACCACCTCACTGCCCGAAGCCCTGGAGGCCTGGGGTCTGGGGCAGCCTACCTCACCTCGGGCCAGGCTGGCCTTACTCATTGTCCTCCCTCCCCAGGTGCCTGAGCACAGGGACTTAGATACAGGTGTTCAATCAATGTTTGCTGAATGAATGGCTGGAGTTTAGGATTAGGGTTTAGAATTGAGTTAGGGCTGGGTCAGGGATAGGGGCTGAGGATCACAATTGGGAGCTGAGCCAACCTGCGTGTTAAGAATTGAGCCAGACCTGGCTGGTATTTGTTTTGGGGTTGTTGAGGTTTGGATTTTGACCTTGGGTTGGCGCTGGGGTGAAGACTAGATGTCTGTGAAAGTTGGGGATGGATGGTCAGGGTGAGGACTGGATTGGTGAGGGCCGTTTAGTCTCTGATGTTAGGTTTGAGAGGAGTGGGCCGGGTGGGGTTGGGGCTGATTCAGTAAGGGTTGGGTAGCAGTTTAGCAGTGGGCTGGGGCGAAGGTCAGAAGCAGCACTAAAAAAAGCACCGGGATTAGGGCTAGCTCAGACTAACCTGCCTTGAGGTCTGAGTTAAGCTTGAAGCCAAGCCAAGACGTCAGAGCAAGCTGAGATTATTACTGGATTAGGCTGAGGCCATGCTGAAGATGAGTTGAGGCCTAAGGGTTAATGTTTACTGGGCAGACTGGTGTTTGGGGAGCAGAGGTGAGAATTAGAGATGACTTTAGGAACCGAGTGTTTGAGGGCTGGACCATGGCTGGGTGTGTAGGGGACAGTCTCTGGCTGCCATGGGCTGCTCCTCAGCTACCTGTAATTTTGTCCAGCATCATGTGCAGTCGGCAGCCAAAGGGGGCATAGAAGCCCACCGTCACAGGTGTGGGCACGTGGCACAGCGTCTTCGACAGACAGCTGCAGTAGACGTCATCCTCTGTCACTATGTCTGCAAGTGAGATGGTGGGCTGTGAGGCAGGGGCTGAGGCTCTCCCCCCTCCCCAGCCTCCCATCTTCAAACCGATCACCTCCCACTGACCCGAGTAAGAAAGCAACCATCTTCCCCCAGAAGCAGCCATGTATAAGAAAACGTCGTCCAAGACTGCCAGACACCTAGGCCCCCTCTCCCCTATTGCCTTGATGCGGTGAAGGAGGAATAACCATTGAGCTGTGAAGCTAGTACTCCCCACAGAGCCCCCAACTCTGATCACCTTCTTAATGCTAATACTAACGACACTTGAGATATGTTGTTACCCCAAATTCTAATCCCATTCCTAGCCCCAAATCTTCCCTTCCTTTACTGGAAATTCTATTTCAACTATATCCATCATGCAAATCCTAAAGCTAGCCGCGTCCCTAAACTTGTCTCTGACTTAAGCCTTAATCACATCATCCGAGTTGGAAGACACGGCAGGCTTTTTTCACCTTGAACTTGACCTTACCTTTAACTGACTGCTCATGTAGACTGACCAGACCTTGGCTGGAACCCTCCCCCTACTGAAGCTGATGGTCTGGGAGGGCCAAGCATCAACATATAACTATAATACAGTGTTATATGATCAATAGGTTTGGAACATGCAAACAAAGGGATCTTTACAATCTTCTGGGGAAGATCATTGCCAAGAGGAAATCTGGGAATGCTTCCAGAGAAAGTAGCATTTAAGTTGGGTTTTAAAGAATGACTAGGAACTCGAGGGGGGATAGCATAAGCAAAGACGAGGAGGTAGCTGTAAGACATTCATGGGCAGAGATGTCTGTTTCTACTGGAGCCAGGAGAGTGAGAAGCATGAAGTGGGGAGGAAGTCCAGGTCATAGAGGACCTTGAGGGCTAGGCAGAGGACTTCAAACTTGTGCCCGTGGGCAGTGAGAAGAACAAGAAATGCCAGATCTACGCTGGATTGTGGGAGGCATAGCATTGGGAAGAGCAGGCAGAGAAGCTATCCCACTAAGAGCCTGGATGGGGGGCCGGTGAACTATGGAGGGGAGAACGGACGACTAGGAAGAGACTTCCTGAGCGGAAGCAATAGATGGCAGGAGAGTAACCAGAGCCCTGCTTCCAACTTGGTTCTTGACCCTGACCCTCACCCAAACACTGCTACTGCTAACCTCAGCTATTACGGCTTACACCAGAGCCCCTGTCAAATGTCTCAACCTTATACTGGTGTCCACTGGACCTGGAAGGCTCCTGGAACCACCTGAGGGAGCAGATAGGAAATTAGACCTTGCAGAAGAGACCTCCCTCCCCTCCTACCAGGCTGGAGGCTGTGAGGAGAAGCAGGGTTGGACAGTCAGATAAAGCATCGCGAGATAGCAGTGGGTGGGCAAGAGGCCAGGAAATAACAGGTTCTGAGCCCAATCCCAGCAGCTGCATTGAAGGAAGTGACCTATAGCCTAGGCTAAGGGGCAAGGGGAAGGACTCCAAAAGGTAAGAGCTAGCCCCGAGAAGGAACCGATGGCTTCAGGGACCAGAGTTAGCGCACAGAACCCTGGAGGAGACCTAGAAAGATAAACAGCCCTTGAGAAAGAGCTAACATCCCCGAAAGACGGGCAGAAGGAGAGAACGTTCCCCTGGCCAAAAAGACCAATGCAAGGTTCCCAGAACGTGGGAGTTGAGGGGCAAAGGTACAAACAGAGCCACGAGCCCAGGGGAAGTGTTAGAGGATGAGAACTACCACTGGAGAAGGAGCTGCTGCTACAGGCTCCAAGAGCTGGGAAGGGCCGGGCAGGGCTGGGCACCCTGACTTCGGGGCTGGTGTCAGCCATCGGGGCTGGGGGCAAGTCTGAATTCAAGATGCCAGCAGGAGGGGAAGCAGTTCCGGGCGGTGGACGGCCCCACGCTGTCTTGTGGCCTTTGCCCACGGGGCAGCCCCGGGCACCGTCTTCACCCAGACTATGCCGATGGCGTAGGGGTGGTGGCTTTGGGGGCAGAGGGGCAGCACCCGACTGCCTAAGCCAATGGCCCCCATTCCTGGGGGCCTGGAAGGAAGGTGGCCAGGCCCGGGGATTCCCCGGGCATGGCCTGTGGGCACGGTGGGCAGAGGCCATGGTTGGAGGCCGAAAAGTTGATACATCCTGGCGTCGCTGGTGACGGAATCCTAGAAAGAAGGAAGATGAGTGCGATAACCAGGTGGGGGCCGAGGACAGAGAGAGGTGGGGCACAGGGTACCCAAGCCCCTTAGAGACGGATGAGGCAAAGAGATGCTCACAGTGGGAAGGCCTGACCCCATTGTGACCGTGGCTGCATTCCCTCACTTTTAGGGCTCAGTACCCCCACTGCCCTCTGCAAAAAGAGGAGGCTGAACCAGATGGTCTGAGGTCCTTTCCAGCCGTCGCAGTTCATGGTGACTGGAGGATGGAAGGAAGGAGGGAGAGTCGCCTTGGGAGCTGATTTCTATTCAGATGATTGGGGGAAGGGCCAAGTGGAGAAACAACAGTAGGGGATGGTGCTGCTGAGATGGGAGCCTGAGCTTGGGAAGAGGTGGGCAGTGCTCTCTCCTAGGCCCTCCTTCTGGAGGGCTGCCTGGCTGTTGAAGCCCACTAGCAGGGCATCCTTCCCATTCCTTGGCCCTCTTCTCCCTCCCAGGAGCAGGAACCATGTAAGGGAAGGGAGGAAGGACTGAAGGAAGGAGTTCTGGGGGCCGCAGGGCACGCTTGATGCGGCCCCCACAAAGAAGGTCCGAAAGAGAGGTGGGGATGATGAAGAGGGGCAGCTACCACCCCACTCCCTCACCCCAGCAGGAGGAATGGGGCTGAAGGGATGGAGGCACCACCGATGGGAGGTAAAGGGCCACCTAGAGCCCACCCTCCCTCTTCTCTTGTTTGTTCACATTCCCCTTTCTTCCCCCACTTCTTCCTGCTGTTTGCTTTTCCTCTTCTCACTGGAGGCCCCCAGAAGGTGGTATGCCAGCACCATCGTCATTGGCTGGTTGCTCCCCTTCCCCATCTGGAAGGCTCTTTACCTCACCCCACACCCCTCAGCATCTCAAACTGCAGCCTTGAAAAACAAATGCCCTAGTTAAGACAGTTCTAGTGCTCTTTGCTTCCATCCTTTCCTTCTAGGAAGGTTTCCAAAGCTAACAACAATGCCCCACCCACCCAAGCTAATCTCCCTCATTTCCCCCTCACCCCTAACTCAAAGTTCAGGCCAACTAATCTGTCTTCCCCTCAGAGTAGGTGCTCCCTAAGGGAAGGATCAAGCTAGGTGGTCAGGGGCCCAGAGGAGGACACCCTCTACCTTTCCCCTGATAGCTCTCAGGGTCAACATAGCGATCCAGCCGGAATCGAGCCTGGCCCATGGAGGCCATTGTCCCAATGGTGCCCACAGCAGCATAGGGTTTGGCCATAGGAAAGTTGAGTGCCTTGTCTGGTCAGCCACCTCCTGCTGGAAATAAGAGACAGGGCAGAGGCTCAAGATTTGGAATTGGGCAAGGCAGGACGTGACCCCCCTCCAAAGATTCTGAGGGGGTTGGAAAAGGCAATAGGGAGCTCTCTCCCTAAGGATATCAATTTGGAATCAAGACACCTGAGATCTGTTCTTGACTCTGCAGCTGACAGTTTGACATTTCCCCCATTGAGCCTCAGTTTTCTTGTCTGTAAAGTGAGGAAAGTATTTGTACTACTGACCTGAGAAGAAGTACTTGTCTACTTCCCCACTCACAACCCTCTCCAACTTTCTCAAAGTTGGGGGAGATATGTCTTCTAGGGTGTTATCTCCCACTGAAAAGTGTTACGGATGAATGAGGTTAGGGAGGAGAAGGTTTACCAGCTAAGTGATGGGGAAGGATGAATAAGGTCTCAGGTTGCGGCTTGGGGAGCTAAGTATATTTAGGGCTGACTAAAGTTCTCCCAAGTAAATGATGGGATACTGGGTAGGTTTGAGGAGTAGGTAACAGCTGAGGGGATAGGTTAGGTTGGAAGAGAGAAAGGTGAGGTCTTGGGGGAATAGTAAATTTGGAAGAACAGGTGGGTAAAGTTTGGGGAGCCTGGCCCCTCATCCCCTCCTCCTTCCCTCTTCCTTTCTGCCCCCCCCCCATACTCCCATACCCCTGCCCCATACCTGGTGGGGAGGCAGTGTCAGCAGGGATATCAGTTCCCTCCTAGTGCTAGCCGCATCCTGGGCCCCACTGGACTGAGTGTCTAGGCCCAGAGAAGCCCTAAAAAACCCAACCCAACCGGTCTTCCCACCTCCACCTCCGCCCTCACCCACTACAGGGATGTTCCCTTTGCCACCCCTGCCCCAAGCCAAGTAGTACAGGGCACACCCACCCACTCACCCCCTGACCAGCTTCCTTGGTTCATTCCTTCAGGAAATCCATGAGTTATGGAACTAAGGACCCAGGACTGGGTGATGGGCACACAAAAGGGCACAAGGAGGGGAAGAGAAAGGAGGGAGGGAGGCAGAGATACATAAGGGCTCCTTAGCAACCATCTGATCTAATCTCATTTTACAGAGGGGCAAGACTGAAGGCCAGGGGGAGAATGGACTTGCCCAGGGAAACCCAAGGTGCGCGAGGGTGAGGTCAGACCCACAGCAGATTGCCAGCCACTGGACAGGGCTGGTCCTAGGTTCCAGCTCAGCTCTGTCACATGTCAATGCAAGTGTAGTTTTGGGTCATTTCAGCTCTGAGCCCATTTGTGTATCTGGGCATGTCAGAATGGCAGGATTGTGGGGCTTTCTAGATAAAAGCCATCCCAGGGCCAGGGCTCTCTGCCCCCTGCCAAGGCAAGAAGGCCAGAGCCTCCAGTCCTAGCTACGCCTGGCTCCCATCCCCCAGCTTCTTTCGGCTTAAGCCCTCCATTCCCCTTCGGGTAGGTCTAATTGGTAGGAACCCTCCTCCCCGCTTACATCAAGCAAAGATCAGATTTTCTGAAACCGGTTGTTCCTGATTCTGCCTCTTTTAATGCTGGCCCTTCCAATGCCTGAAAGTCTCTCTCCTGTTTCCCTTCTAGTTGTGTTCACGCAGGTAACCACTGAGCTCCTTCAGCTCACTTTCAATGACTCGCTGTCCACTCCTCGCTTTTCCATGCCTTTACCCATGTGCACTCCAGCCTGTCCCTTCTCTTTCTCCCCTGCCCCAGCATGGCACCCTTCCTGCCTCCCTGCCTACCTCAGACGTAGAGGCAAGGGGCCAGGGTTGTCCACTGCCGTGCCTGCTGTGGGCTTCCCAAGGACTGGGCCTCTGATCAGTCTCCCTGCTCTTCCCTCCCCGCCACACACACTTCAGCTGAACTGGGTGATGGATATGCTCTGGAGAGCTGCTGGTCAGATAGGAAACACAGAGGGCACAGGTGTGATAGAGAAAAAGGGGGAGGGAGCAGGGATTCCATCTCACCTTCCGAGGTGAGCTAGAGTGGGGAAAAAGGGAAGTGAATCATTTCTAAGGAGTGTGTGAAACACGTTGCATTAGCCCGGGGTTTCGAAGGCCCTGACTGGGGCTCAGCCAGCAGTCCTCACAGCCCCCCTCTGATCCCACCAACGCTTCCTGCCCAGGAGCTCCATAAGCACTTAATGAATGCTCATTCATTCATTCGTGACTTAGCATGATTAACAAGATGAAAGCCCTAATCCCCACCCGGGCATTTAGGAGTCCCCACAATCCAACTTTCTTCTATTCTAGATCTTCTCTCCTGAGCCCCCCTCAATAAGGCTTGGGACAAGTCAAAATGGCTGACTCCCTGTTCCTTGAATTCAGTCCACCCTCACCACCCACCTTAGCCGGATTTCCCAACGTCTACTTCCACCTGGCTTTAAGAGTCACCTCCTTCAGGAAGACTTCTCTGATTCACTCTTCCCCCGACTCCTACCTCCTTTGTTCCTCCCCAGCAAGGCTAGATAAGCGATACTAGTCTTATCAGCACAGCTGAGCTGCAGCCAACGTTCTCCCCCTCACCTCCTACCACAAGAAGCCTGGTCACAGTAGGTGATGGAGAGGAGCAAGGTGAGAGATGCATGTTTGCACTGGGGGTGGCCAGGCTGTGACCCTGGCTGTGTGACCACAGTCCATCGGAGGATCCCCACTTCTGAGCTGGGAGGGACCTCCGGGGTCATCCGGCGTCCTCGTTTTGGATGACATTAGATGCGGGGTCACACACCTGCTCCACTCCACCTGAACCTGGCCGGCCCTCAGTTTCCCACCCGACCCTCCCTGGATGCCCCCATCACGCTCCTGAGAACCTCCTCATTCTGCACAATCACTCGGGCCTTGGTACTCCCATCTCAGCCAGGGCAAGGTGGGGGGCCCTCCCATATCCCCTACGGGAAGCCACCCCAAGCGCCATGTCTTCATTGCCCTCCTTGGAGGCCCCAGCAATGGCCCAGGCGCTGGGCACTGTTCCTCCTGGCGTGTCTTGTGTTCCCTCGCTAGACTGTGAGCCCCCTTTTCATGTCTGCACCCTCTGCCCCTCACTATGCGCTAGGCACAGTGCCTAGCACAGACAGAGCAGTTCATAAAAGCTTGTGGTGTGACTGGGAAGCACAGTGCGATTGGGACCTGTGCTGAAAACACCTCCAGGGCAGGCCGCCAAGGTTCAGCAAGGCACTGAGATATCAAGGGTCTCACACCCTCACGTTATCAAAGGTGGGACCTGACTCTGAGATCGACCATCTAAGTGCCATTGCCTCTCACCCTTCAGGGGCTGACCCGGTCTGGGGGCTCATCTCCTCGACCACCTATAATGCGCGGTGAGGTCTTGCTCCTAGCCTCACGTATACCTCCACTACCTGCACAGCCAGGCCCCCATTGGCCTCCAGGCCCCCTTCCCCTCCGAGCAGACTGCCTCAGAAAACAAGCTTCACCTCCACCGGTCTGCGTGCCAGGCACTGGGAGGAAAGTCCAAAGAACAGAACATTCCTCCACGTAAGGAGCGTCCATCCTTCTCAAGGCCAGAGGCCTGCTGTCCTGCAAACCCTCCCCCTTCCCAAAGAGCCATGCCCTGAGATCACCCCAGTCATGTGACCATGGGCATGTCCCCTTTCTATCTCTGAACCAGTTTCCTCCTTTGGGAATAAAGAGCTTGGCCCCTTTCTACTCTAAATTCTGTTAAGATGGACTCCATGAACTCCCACCACGATCATGAACCCCAACAGTGACTCTGGGCAAACGACTGAACTTGTCTGGCCTTTGGTTTCCTCCTCTCCAAAGGAGATGGCCAGGCCGGACTAGAGGCTTCTGGGGGGGTGGCATGCTGGGCACTTGGGCCCAGAAGACCAAAGTCTGGCCGGCTCTCTGAACCAGCTTGGCAACCTATATAACCCGACCCAGGCTGGGGGAATCGGGAGAACCAAGTTCCCATCCCAGGCCCTGAGACCTGCAGGCTGTGACCTTCACCAATTTCCTCTCTGACTAAATAGGGGTACAGCCTCCACTATTTACCTCAAGGGTGTCATAAGAATCCAAGTGCTCTAGAAACCTCTTCTAGCCAGGTAGATGCTCACCCCAAAAAAAGCCTAGGGGGCTCTCCCTCCCTGTGGGTTCAGACTGAACAGGTGGCCAGACTGGGCGTGCGGAAACAGCAGGCTGGCAGCACGTGTTCGGGCCTGGGCGGCCTGCTCAATCACTCTGGGTGCACACCTGCGTCCTCTATTGTGTCTGTGGGTGTGCACCTTGTCTTGTGTGTGTCTGTGGTGTGCGTATGGGGATTAGGGCACTGCTCACACCCACAGGAGCCTTCCCCAGCTCAGCATCCACCTCTCCCTTCCTAGCTCCTTGGACTCTGCCCATTGTGTGGGCTCAGCAGGCAGAGGGAGCGCCAAGGGGGACCGAGGTGGAGGGGAGAGAAAGAGGCGTAAGTGAGGCTCACGCAGCCAGGTCTAGGCTTTATTGGAGAATACCTCGGAATGCTGCCCAGAGGGCCCCTCAGCCTCTGGGGCTGACTGTGCCTCCCTGAGCCCGGGTCCTTCCAGCTCCTGACCCCGGCCGTCACCCAGGCTCCTCCATGACTCCAGAACCACTAACCTTCTTAGGACCTCATGGTTCCAACAAATACCCACAGCCCCAAACGGTTCCCCAGATTCTCAACCCTGGTTGGGTGACCTGCTGGGGTCACCACTCTGGGAGCAGAGGATTAGGTCTGGGCTCCCATCTCGGGAAAGGCATGGAGAGAGGGGGGCCTGTCCGAAAAATGGGAACCAGGATAGTCAGAGGACTGCAGACCATGCTAAGGCACAATGGGAAAACGCCTGGGGAAACCAAGCCTGGAAGAAAGAGAGTGCTGGGAGGTCAGGGCTCTTCCCACTGCTCGGCCTTCCGGCGTTAGAAGGGCTGTCACGGGGGAGGGGTCCCAGATTTATCTCACTTGGTCCCTGGGGGCACAAGAAGCAGGCACTCAGGGATGGAGATCTACAGCCCTCCTAAAAATCAGACCCATCCATGAAGAGACGGCCGCTCCAGGAGGCAGCGAGGTCTTGGCCCCTGGTCAAGGACCACGTAGAAGGGGCACAGGGTGGAGCTCCTCAAAGCTCGGGACCCCCAGCAGGAGGAATCCATTGTTCCAGCTTCAACATCTCCCGGCAGTCCTTTCCCTCCATAAGCCTCAGTATTCTCATCTGTATAATGGGGATACTCGTTGCCTAATCCCTGGGATGGTTGTGAATCCATGTAAAGCACCCTATAATTTTCCATTAGGAACGAAGGGGTTATCCCAGAAAGCAGGGTCTCCCAGCTAACCCTAATGCGCACTCTCTGGGCCCTGGGCCGGGATCTAGAACCTGCCTCAGCAGATGCGGAAGGGCCAATGCTTGGGCCTGGGGTCTTTTAAGCCTTCTGAATCACCACCTGGAACTTACCTAGAACAGAGAGAGGCAGCTGGTAAGGAGGGGGAACACACAGTGTGTGTGTTTGTGGTGGGGGGAGGCAGAATGGGTAGGTCACCAGCAGCAGGGCCTAGGCCTGGGACACGCATCATGTTCCCTCTCTGGGGACAGACAGTATGGCACGGGAGAAAGTATATGCTTGATATGGCACAGAGGTCTGGGGTCCAGGCCTGGGCCCGATCACTCCGGGGCGACTTTGAGCGAATGACCAAACCTCTCTGGTTCTCCAAAGGAGGAAGGGCTGGACTCTGGCCTCTCATCCCTCTGACCGAACGGCCTCCCACACTGAGCCAACTACACTGGGGGGCCCGGAGATGAGGTGGCCTTGGCCACAGCCTCGGGGCCATCAGAAAAGCCAGGCTCATCCCTGAAGCCTGCCTCCCTTCCAGGGCAGGAGAGGACCAAAGGAAAGACCCGTACAGCCCAATACCTGAGCCTGGCAGCTGAAAGGAGGGAAGGAAGCTCTGGGACCCAAGCCTCGATGGGGTTCAGGAGCCCTGAGTCACCACAGGCATGCTGACTATGCCCTCCTCCCCGGCTGGCCCCCATCCCTGGAGACTCACAGGCAGGAAGGGAGGCCACGCTGGCTGTGACAGAGCTCTCGATGCCCAGGGCGCTGAGGGTACCCCGGAGAAGGCCACACGTGAAGGCAAGAAACTGCAGGGGAAAGACACGGCCGTATTAACTGCCTTCTGGAAGCCCAGCAGAAAGGGGGCTAGTCCTTGAACCCAGAGCCCAAGAGATGGAGGCATGCCTGGGAGGAAGGCTGAGGACCACTGAGGCTCAGAGCGTGCGCACACGTGTGTATGTGTGTGTACACACGTGCACGTGTGTGAATGTATGTACATGTGTGTATGTGCACTCTATGTGTGTACACGTGTGTGGGTGTGTGTACATGTGTGTACGTGTGCACACGTGTGTGTGCGTGTACATGTGTGTGCTGTGTATGTGTGTGAAGTGTGTACATGTATGTGTGTGTGCACGCACATAACTTGTGTGGTGTGCATGCACCTCTATGTGTGTGCAGGAGCTGGGGGAGACCCCCACAGTGCACCATTCATCTCTCTTAAAGCCCGGGGCAGAAGGCACCAACGGGGCGGGGGAGGCCCGTGAGGGGAGAACAGCCGGGGCCCCCTCCCCCACCCTCCCAGTACCTTGGGGGCCTCCTCCAGATACTGCTGGCCCCAGGCCATCTGAGTCAGGAAGGGAAAGTTGTTGTCCTGCAGGATGTAGGTGCCCTAGAAGGGGGGAAAGGCCAGGGGCTGGGTCTCTGAGGCAGGCCCGAGGTTCCCTTGGAGACAAAGAACCTGGGGTCGACGGGCCACTCACTCCATGGAGCCTTCAGCACGGGAGCCGCAGCACAGGCCTCAGTTTCCTCCCTTACACAATGATCAGACTCATAGAACCTTGGCAATGACGGTGACCTGGTCTGGTGCAAGCCTGACTCCAGATCTGTTCTCCCACACCCAAATAAGGGGCTGTCTGGCGAGACGGGCGCCCCAACTGCTGCTGGGGGGCCCACCCTGAGGGCACCCGGGAGTTCCTGCTTCCTGAGCTCCCAGAACACAAAATCTGCTGCGGCCTCCTCCACAGCCCCTGAGATAAGGGAGGACACTTGTCACCACCCCCACCCCAGCACGCGCATGTGCACACACAGACACACGCTCAACAGTACAGCCTCAGTTCTTTCAACCAGGCTCCAAGGAGGGGTGACCTTAAGAGCCTCCCCAGGGTCAGTGCAGGGGAGCACCAGCTCTTGGAGTGAGACACGCTAGGCCCGAGCTAGCCTCTGCTCCTCACGTCTTATGTGACCTTAGACAAATGACCGGGCTCCAATGATTTCTGGGGTGCCTCCTCTCCTGGGACTCAGTCCTAAGACTGCAGCCTCCCTCCCTGCGGCCCGTCGGCCTCTTTGTACACTGGCAGGTTGCCATCCTTTGCCTGGCTGCCAATACAGACTGAGCAGGCAGCTAAAAGCCTTGGGCCTCTTGGAATCAGCCCCCATGTGGCCCAGGCTCCCTCCCGGGGCTGGTAGAATAGGCTTTTTGAACACACTTAAAAGTCTCGACATCTCTCCCTCCTCAATTGGGCCCTAATGGTCTCACTGGAGGGTGCTGCCAAGTGTCTCCCCACTGGCTCTCTGGGGAAAACCGTCCATACCACCCCCTCTAAGGTTTAAACTGCATGATCCCCATTTCCTCTGTCCCTTTCTTACATCCAGGCAATCAGCAAAGCAGGAAATCAAGCCTGATTTGGAGCATTTTCATATTTCCAGGGTGTGGACACTTATGTGGAAAATTAACAATGGCTCCCATGAAATCCTGGGAGCCGGCTCCAGAACACGCCTGGTTCTCACCCAGCTGGATCCTGGGGCCCTGACTCTGTCCCCTACGGCACTCAGGGGGCCCTCCCCTGGTCCTGCAGTGGTGGCTGGGCATGTGCTGGGAGAACGGCAGGGGAGCCCTGAATACATGATTTCATATTGGCACTCAACAAACCAGCCTGTGAGACTGAGGCAGAGGAGGGATTAGTATTCTGATTTAACAAATGAGAAACTGAGAAAGAAGGAAGGAAAGGGAAGACCTAAGTATTTATTAAGCACCTACTGTGTGCCAGGCACTATGCTAAGCCCTTTTCGAATATCTCATCTATCTGCCCAACCAACCCAGGAGGCAGAAGCTGTTTTCATTCTCATTTTACAGACGAGGAAACTAAGGTAGCGATTACGTGCCTTTTCCAAAGTGCTGGAGGCTGCATTTGAACTCAGGTCCTCCTGACTCCAGGCCCAGCACTCTCTCCATTGTGCCGCCTCAGAATGGAAGGGACTTGCCCAAGGTCTCCATTTGAAGCCGTGACTTGTGACTCCAAGCTCAGGGTCTTTTCCAGGATGGTATACTGAGTCCCAGGACAGGGGGAAGTGAGGGAGGCTGGGCCCTCCTCCTCCTCTGACTCTGGGGGGCTTGCTCCATCCTCACCTACCTGGTGGTTGGTCCTGAGATTGTCCGTCTGCTTCCGGAACACTGCCCCCCACAGGTCCCTGCACAGGAACTTGATGGTGTCCAGCTCCTCTTTGAAGACCAGAGCCCCTCGGGGCAGCCTGGGGGAAACACAAGCTTCTCACTCTAGGGTGAAGAAGCCAAGCCGGGAACCAGGCCCAGCCCCGGGGAGCCAGGGAGAGGGGATCTAATGGGAAGGTGCAGGAGGTGACCCAAGGTCCAGGAAGGCCTGGGACTGGAGGGAGGGGAAGGGAGACCAAACACCATCACCCATTATAGCTCCTGGTACCCTGGGGAGCCCACTGACCAACTGGGGGGCCTCCTCCTGCAGAAGGGCCTGAGCATATGGGACAGGGAACCCCCCAAGCCCCCTGGAGGATGGAGCCCTGGCTCTCACCTCTCAGCCAGGCCCTGGCCCACACGGAAACCCATGCCCTCAAGGACTGTCAAGCCATTCCTCTGTCCCTAGGAGAGGAGGGGTGGGGAGAAGGGGGCTCAGCCAGGGCCATCAACTCTGGGCACCTCCCCTTCCTCCCCCCACAAAATAGGGAGAAATTACAGAAGAGTGATTTTGGATTAGGAATGGAAAAGGATGCTCCCAAAGCTGCGTCCCAACCCTGGAGCTGGATGGCCCGAGACAGGTTCCAGAGAGGGCAGGGAGGTACCTGAGAAGCCGCCAAGACTCTCACCTCCCAGGACAAGTGACTCCCCCTCCCCCTGCCTCAGGCTCTGTTCCAGGGCCCCCAGTGTTCTACCAGGGAGCCAGAGGGGAGAGTCAGGCTCCTTGCTCCCATGAACCCCTCCCCAGGCACCCAATCCAATCCACAAACACGGCTGAGGTCAGTGCAGACACAAGGCTGTGCAGGAGCCAGAGAAGCCTGGAGTGCATGGGGTTTAAGGGGTGGGGGGAGGGTCTTCCCTAGCCAGGCCCCGTGGTGACCCCCAGCCCCCCTCCCCCGCCTCCTCAGTCTGGCTCATCCCTGCCTATGTCTGGCTCCCCCTTAGCAGGGAATGCCCAAAGGGGGAAGAGGCAAGGAATGGAGGAGCAGTGGGGGAAGGGCCTCAGGGACAGGACATGAGGATAGATGCGGGGCAAGCAGGAGCCCAGGAGAAAGGGAAGAATGGCGAGGTCAGGGTGGAAGCAGAAGAGGTGGAGGGAAGACAGCCATCCATTCGAAGCATCTCTTATGTGCACACACGTGAGAGTGTGTGTGTGTGTGTGCATGTGCCTGTATATTGTGCATGTATACATATGTGTGTGTGTATGTGCGTGTGCGTGTATACGTGGCCTGTGTGTGTGTGCATGGGCCTGGCGGCCCTGCACCAAACCCTGGGCACACACACAGAATGAACCCCTCCCTTCTCTGAAGGAGCTGACACAAGAGGAGAGAGGAGGAGCCAGAGCTGGCTTTAGGGGCCTTTAGGCTCACCTGGTTCACCTTCCCCTTTTTCCGGGGGCAGGGGCGGGCACAAGGCTGCCCAGCAGTGGCCCAGCAGGATTCAAACCCGGATGGTGGGACAGGGTCTACCCTCCTTCCACAAGGCCCCACAGCCTCCAGCCAGGGGATGTTGGGAGGGATAGAAGGAGGGAGGAGACCCTTCTGAGCCGCCCCCGCTAGTCCTCAGGTTCTGCCCTGCTCAAACATGCCCCCCAGAGTTTCTGTTCCACAGCTTTCTTCCCCTCTGCAGTCCCTTATCATGGCCCTGCCTCCCCTTCTCCTCCCACTTCCCTGGAAAGCCCAAGGCCACCCAGGCAGCCCGCCCAAGCTCTGTTCCCTCTTTGGGTCTCCTCTGTTCATCCACCAACCTTCGCTCCAGACACAGAGGATTAGGCGGGCCTTCCACGCCTGCCCTGGCCCCCATCCCCATCCCCATCCCCCCCACTCCTCCTTCTCAACCTCTCCTGGCTCCTTGCCTGCTGCCTACAAACAGACTACATCTCCCCCATCCTTAAACACTTTCCCTCGGCCCCACTGGTCCCTGAAGCCCCCACCATCCAATGGCTGTCTTCCCCTCCACAGCCAAACCCTACAAACAGCAGCCTACCTGCATCTGGTGCTCTATAGCCTCATCTGCAAGCATTCAGTAAGGGCCTACTATGCGCCAGGCACTGAGGGGGTGTGGGTGGGGGTGTGCCCAGTCTAACCAAGGGAGACAACAGGGGCCTATAGTTAAGCATATACGAAACAGAAACATGGTCACTTGATGGAGAAGGTCCTAGCACCTCTCAATTCCTTGCAGTCCGGCTTCCAATTCCTTCACGAAAATGAATTCACTTGTTGCAAGGTCGCCCGCAATCTCTCTCCCACAACTCCAGTGTCATCCCTGGTATGGGCCACCCGCCTGGCACCATCCTGGCTCCTCTCTCTGCTCAGCAGGGTCTCTGCCCTCCTTCCTTCCCTCCCCATTCCACGGGCCTTGCCCTCCTATCTCCATCAAGTTCTACCTTCCCAGCTGCCCACCAGACATCGCCACCCACAGCCATCTCAAATTCCAAACCGTCCAAACCAAACTCACGTCTTCCTGCCCCTTTCTCCTAACTTCCTCCCTTCTGCCAAGGGCACCATCTTTGCCAAATTCACAAGCTGGGAGTCAATCGTGGCTTCCCAATCTCTCCTCACTCCCTTCTCTGGCCAAGCAGCTGCTAAGCCTTGAATTCCACCTCAGTATCTGTGCCCAGCTCCAACTACTGTGGTCCAGCTCCTCATCATCCCTTGTCTGGACTTTCGTAATTGGTGTCTCTGCATCCAGTCTCTTCTTTCTATCCCTCATCCTCCACACTGCCGTCAAATGGGAAGTCCAAGCACAGAACTGACCACGACACGATTCTGCTCAAAAAGCTTCAGTAAGACTGCCCCAGCGGCCGAGGATGGAGCAGAAACTCCCCTTTGGCACAGGAAGCCCTTGGCAGGCTGGCTGCCACCTTCTTCCAGGCTTCCCTTCATGCGCTGTGCGCCTCAGCTGATGCCTGCTCGCTGATGTGCCTCTGTGCATGCATACAAGCCGTCTCCTCAAACCCTGGAAGTCACTCCTTCCACTTCATCCTCTTGGAACCCCTAAGGCCCTAAGCTCAAATGCCACCTCATATTGCCCAGAGGTCAATGCCCCTCTCTTCCAAATCAATGTGCCTTTATTTTGTAAATGCCCGGTTTATATTTATCTGGGAAGGAATATTCCTGATTCCCCCCACCCCATGCCAGTGAGTGCTTCCACCCTCCCCCCCCAAAATTACTTTGAATTCCTCTATGTTTTATATGAGAGACAACCTGGCTTAGTGGAGACAGAGCCAGCCTCAGAACAAGACCTCCGTTCGTACCTGGGACACAAGCTGGCTGGGTGACCCTGGGCAAGGCTCTGGGCTTCTCAGTGCTCCAAGTGACTCTCTGAGACTGTGGCAGATGGCAGAGCAACTGCCTGGCCTGGTAGGAGCTTCCCCACAATAACGAAGTCCCTGAGCGGTGCGCGCGCACACACACACACACACACACACACACACACAGAGGAGTCATTCCTTCCACATTGTGGGGGTCAGGAGCACGGCGCCCCACTATCTGGGACAATCTGAAAAATGTTTTGGCTCTCCCTTTGTACCAGAGAAGAAGTCCGAATTATTATGGTATTAAAAGATTAAAAACAGGGTGCTATCATACAGTGTTATACACAGATTTTGGGTATTTCTGAGTTTCTAAACTTTTTCTGTGTCATCCGTGGCTTCCACAAAACTCCCCCAAATTCTGATTTAATTTCTAATGCTGACCCGAGATACATTGGAACCACGATGGGGAAAGTGGCAATGTGGAAGGGATAATTGTATACACACACAGACACAGACACAGACACACACACACACACACACACACACTACATACACGTTTGGTGTTCTGTCCTGTCCAACTCTTCATGACCCCATTTAGGGTTTTCTCGGCAGAGATACATTTGCCATTTCCTTCTCCACCTCATTTGACAGAGGAGGAAACCGAGGCAAACAGGGTGAAGTGACTTGCCCAGGGCCACCCAGCTAGTGAGTGTCACAGGCCACTTTCCAACTCTGGTCCCCTGACTCTGGCCTGGGGCTCTGCGTACTATGGCGCCCCCTAGCGACCACCTCTATGTGCAAGCCGTCTCCAATAAAATGCAAGGTCCACGAGGGCGGGGCGCGTTGCTCCACGTATCCCTAACAGCGGGTGTTCTGGGGGCCCGAACGGATGGAAGAAGACGGAGAACAGGCGTGTGCTGGGAAAGGTGAAGGGGGGAGGAACGGGAGGAGGGCGGAGGACATGGAGGGAGAAGGGGGAGGGGGAAGGGAAAAGCGAGGGGGGAGGGGAGACGGGGGGAGGAAGGGGATAGGAGGGAGGGGACGGCAGGGGGAGGGGAGACGGAGAGTCTGTAAGAGAGGGGGACAGAAGGCAGAGAGGACACGGCGAGGCCCTCCTGGCTTCACCTCGTCTCCCGAGCCCCGGCCCCCGCCATACGCGGCCGCCACCACCTCCGTGTGAAGCAGCTGGAACAGAGTCTCGTCCGCCATCGCCCGCGCTTCCGCCTTCAGCTGTCACTGCGCGCCCCACCCCCGAACCCTAGGGTTCCACAGGCCCCGCCCACCCGAGCCGCATCCAGCACTTCTATTGGTTCAAGGTCGGGCCACGTGATTCCCACCTCTCTTTCGCTCTAATCCAGAGCCCACCCAGCACTTCTATTGGCACAGGGCAACTTCCATGCGAATTGCGGCCTCCTCTTCCTCCCTCCGAGCCTAAAGCTCATAGGTCGAGACGCTTTTGACGTCATGTCCATACCATCCTGTGGTCAGGGTGGGCGTGCCTACACAGCTCCTCGGTGCACCCCCATTGGCCAATTAATATTCCACCAACCCTTCGCCGTCATTGACTGGAGTGGCCGTCATGTCACGTGATCTAGGACCGCTAGGTCCTTGCTCATTGACGGAGCTCGAAAGGAGCAAGCCCCACGTGACTCCCCCTCCCCTCGAAATCCATGAACGCTACAGGCGGAGAAAGCTCGGAGCTCCAGCCACCCGGTACCTTCCTCTCCCTGGGATGGACGGGATCTTACCCGGGATCCCACCTCTAGCGAGCCCTCCCTTCCCTGTCTCTGGCGCCCCTCGGGGGCGGAGAGGGAGAAAGGGCGCCCCCCCAACCACTTCCCTCCGTAATTCTGCCCTTCCTCCTACGACTCCGGCATCCCCATTCCCAGCCCCCTCCCCGATTCTCCCCCTCCCGTGATGCCCCCTCCTCGATTGTCCCCCACCTGTGACGACCCCTTCCCGATTGTCCCCCTCCTTTGACGCCTCCTCCCCGCTTCTCCGCCTCCTGTGACACCCCTCCTCCATTCTCCCCTCCTGTGACGCCCACTCCCTGATTCTCCCCATCTTGGGACGCCCCCTCCCCAATTCTCCCCCTCCCTTGTGACGTTCCGTCCCTCATACTCTCCTCCTGTGGTGCCCCCTGCGCCCACTCCCCGATTGTGATGCCACCTCCCTGATTCTCCCCGTCCTTTGTGACGCCCACTTCCCGATTCTCCCCCTTCCTCGTGACGCCCCTTCCCTGATTCTCTTCCTGCCTTGTGATGCCCCGTCCCTGATTCTCCAATTCCGTGACGCCCCCGCCGCCCCCTCCTCGATTATCCACTCCTGTGACGCCCTCTCCCTGATTCTCCCCTTCCATTTTGACACCACGTCCCTGATTCTCCACTTCCGGCGCGCCCCCGACGCCCCCTCCCTGATTATCCCCTCCTGTGATACCTCCTCCCCGATTCTCGCCCTCCTGTTACACCCCTTCCCTGATTCTCCCTCCACACAACCGCTCATCTCCTCGATTTTCCTCCTCCCTCATGGCGTTCCCCTCTGCCTGATTCTCCCCTTTTTTATTATCAACATTCTTTGATTCTCCTCTTCCTTCTGACCAGCCAAGCACCCCCATCTCGGATTCTCTCCCTCTCCCTCCCCCATGACACTCCCTTTTTCCACTGCTCACCCCCCCAGTTTATCCTCCTTCCCTCTTTTCCACCCCTCCCCCACCATTCCTTACGGTCCCTGTTACGTAGCAATCTCCTTCCGTTAGGGGCCCCCTTATGGAATCCCCTCCTCTCAGAATGATGCAGTCCCTTCCCTGCTCCCCACCATGCCGTCTCTCTCATGGTCACTTTTTGGAATAATTCGTCCACCCCCACCCCAACTCCCAAAGCTCCTCGAAGTCCTGGGTCCCCTTCCATAGCGCCCTGCTGCTCCTTAGTGCCTTGTCATCCTCTCTCCAACTCCTTTGCCCTTTTGGTACCCGGCTGGCCTGGCACCCCTCCCAGGAGGGATCCCCACAAGCCTTCAGGGTGCGTTTTCCAGCCTCACAACCTCCGCCTTCACATAATGCCCTTGGGCTTGGTGCAGGGCCTTCCTCCTCTCCCCGCTAGATTCTCTACCCCACGCTCCATTCAGCGCAGCCCCGGTCTCTGCGCTAGTGGGGTCCCTGCCCTCTCTGCTTCCCTTCTTTCTCCGGATGGATCGCTCCCGCCTCCTCCTCCCCCCATCGCCCCCGCCTTGGTGCCCAGAACAAAGCGCCCTGCTACCTCTGCCCCAACAGCTCCTGGGCCTGAGAAGCCATGGCTTCCCGGGCCGTCGGAGGGTTGCGAGGTCGGCGACCCGAGACTGTGGTGCGTGGGGAGGCGATCGAGACGGACTCGGCGGCATCGTCGTCAGAAGAAGAAGAGCTGTACCTGGGCTCTGCCCCGCCGTGCCGGGGCCGCCCCACTGGGCTGCGAGTAGCCGGGGAAGCGCCTGAGACCGACTCTGAGGAGGAGCCGGCGACCCTGGTGGCCCACGCGGATCTGCCCCCGCTCGTGGTGGTTCGGGGACCAGAGTGGGCAGAAGAGGAGGCTCCCGCAGCGCCCGCGCTCCCTGCGTCGGGCCGGGCCTCGCTGCTGCAACAGCGGCTGGCTGAGAGCCAGGCTCGCCTGGGCCACGACGTGAGCGCGGCGGTGCGTGGTGTGTACCGGCGAGCTGGCCTCGATGTCGCCGGCCTGGCGGCCCGTCTGGCCGCCGCGCAGGCCGTGGGCTTGGCGGCGGCCCACAGCATCCGCCTGGCCCGCAGCGACCTCTGCGCCCTGGCCGAGCGCCTGGACATTGTAGCCAGCTGCCGCCTGCTGCCTGACATCCAATCTCCAGCTGAGCCGGGCCCCAGCCCCCGGGCATAGTGGAGGCGCAGCCGTCCTCACCTGTGTCCCACCCTCACTGTGGTTCCCAAGGCCTAGTGTCCCTTGATGGCTTCTCTGAAGAGGCTTGGTACGGGCCCTCCCGGTGGTCCTCCCCTGGTTCAGGGGCCCTCCACTGGGTTGGGGGATGGGAAGGGCCTGGAAACTGGGAGCACGGACTTGCCTCACCCTCCTTACCCTCACCAGGTTTCAATAAAATGTCTTTGGAAAGAGAAGATCGAGTGTCCTTGGGATGGAGGGGATACAGTGGGAAGAGGGGGCACAGGCCACAGTCCCAAAAATCGTCTCTGTCCTTGGGCTTTTTCCTCGCCCACCATGTACAACCAGTGCTGGTCACCAGGTAGCGCTGTGGCTCCCTCCAGGACGCCAGGGTCCCTCCACCACCGGTCTGAGGCTGGCAGGCCCCGCCCTGCTACTATTCCATGTGGGCGTTCCACCAGTCCTTCAGTGCTAGTTGACCCCTCCCCCCTGAGACCTTAGGACCTGGGTGATCCCGTGGCCTTTCATCCTCTGGATTCTGTAGAACTGAACCTGCCCCTCACCAAGGCTGTCCTGCCGATCCTCCAGGTTGTCCTGTCCAGGATGGTGTCGTGGATGGAACTAGGGGGCTCAGCCTTTGAAATGCTAGGCACGGTGGCTGCAGCCTGGTGGCTTCTGCGGGTAGCCTGGTGGCTGGGCCATGCCCTGCTCGTCTATGGGCTGCCCCAGGTTGGCCTGGGCCTTGGCATTTCTCTCAGGAAGCAAGGGGCCTGGGCAGGTGTGTGGGAGAGGGAGGGAGGGAAAGGGACCGAAGGGGGAGGGAAGGGACAAGGGGTCTGATGACAGGAGTCCTGTGGCCCGCTGCCTCAGAAGAGTTCGTGGAGCATGGATGGAGGACTCTAGGACCAGGATTCCAAATTCAGTCAAGCTGCTTCGGATCGCGTGCGCCCGCCCCCCCCCCCCCGCCCCCAGCCCCCCCAACCCACTGCACCTTCCCCGCCCCCAAGTCACTTCCCCTCTGGGTTTCACTTTCCTTGTTTGCAAAACAAGTGTCTGACCAGGGTGCCCCAAGGTCTGTCCCAGCCTTGAATCTGATTCCATGCCATGTCATGGGTAACCCCAAGGAGATCATTTAATCTTTCTGAGACTCTGGTGGGTTTTTTTGTTTGTTTCTTTTCGTTGTTTTGCAAAATTGGGGACAGCTGGACTAAATGATTTCTAGAGTCCTGGGAAGCTTTTCGTCAGAGATCCTCTGATCTGTGTATTGCATATGCAAGTGCTCACATACAGAGACTTCTCTAGGGTTGCAGGCCCCCTGCTAGCAGGTTCCCCTTGTACAGGCTCTCATTTCCCAGTTGAGTTCCACTGTATAAACAGCTTCAAGTCCTTTTCAATTCCTGGGCCGTAGAGGTAGTACTCAGAAGGAGGAGGCAGACAGTAGAGGTTCTCTGTTGCCCCTTCCTGGGATCTCCCTTTGGGTGGGTCCTCCAGAGGGTTCCCCCCAGGGACCCACAGGTCCCCATTCCCAGCCTCTGTCTCCCTACAGTGGTAACCGGGGCCACAAGTGGAATCGGCAGGAGCTATGCTCATGAGGTAAAGGGAGGCCTGGGGCCAACTGAATCTGTCTTTAATGTACCTGGGCATGGCCCCACATGTCTGTTCCATTGCATTCCACATACATTGTCCCATGCATTCGGTGTTTTCTCCCATGCATGTTACTCTCTATGAGCCCTGATCATTTTCTAGAGCCTCAGGTCATGTGTTTGCAAGGGGATTCCTGTGTAAATATATATAAATGTAGTAATTAATGTCACATGTGTATGTATATACATGCATACATACAGAAAGACAGATAGATGCTAGAAAGATAAGTAGACAAGATGGATATGTACACAAATAAGTACATCCATATTTGTCCTGAGTGTTTCTGCCCATTGGTTTCTATGAATTCCCCACATCCCTCTTTGTCTTATGCACACCTGCTTATCTGTATGGACCCTCTTGAGTCTTCTGTAGGTTTAGGAGGTTCTGTGTGCCCACTCCCTCAATCTCCCCATTCTCCTGTCTCCATACAGCTGGCCCGAAGAGGCCTCAACGTTGTACTGGTCAGCCGAGATCTAGACAAGTTACGTCGGGAGGCAGAGGACATTGGTGAGGGCCGAACTAGAAAGGAGGGGCATGGGTGAGAAGTGAGGCTGCTCAAGGTTCCATGATGGGATATGGAATCAAATGACCCAGGTTTGACACAGCTTTGCTACATACTACCTGTGTATGAGCCTCAGCCAGTCAGTCCCATTTCTTCTCTGGACCTTTCTTCATCTATATAATAAGGAGCAGCACTGAGCTTCCGATTCTGAATTCTCTGAGTTTTCCTACAGAGAGACTCCATGGTAAGGAAACAAGAGTCATCCAAGTGGACTTCACTGGAAGCTTAGAGGTCTATGAGATAGTTGAGAGAGCCTTGGAGGGCCTAGAGATCGGCATTCTAGGTATGCACCCACTCCCTCTTCCCTTCTAAGTCCTGCCCCCGGAATTCCTCTCCATCCCCTTGCTCTGTGGTCCTCACCTCTTCTTTTGCAGTCAACAATGTGGGTGTAGCTCCCAAGATAATCCCCCAGAAGCTGATGGATTTGAAGAATGCAGGCAAGGTAGAGAAAGCTACATCCCCCACCCCCACCCCAGCTCATGCCCTTTTCCATTTCTCTGACTTTTTCCATCCCTTATTCTCCCCTCCCTCTTTCTGCCCTCTTTATCTGCCCCTTCCCTCATCACCCCATCTTCCCTCCTACCTCACAACCCCCACCTCACCAACCTTTCTAACCAGGCAGAAAGTGCTTTGTCAATTTAAATCAGGTCAGAAATGTGAGCTCCCCTTGCTTTTGTGGCCATAACAATAATCAATGTTGAGAAAATGTTCCCTTGGAAATTCTCACAATTTGTTCCACTTTATGTCTATTTGTCTTCCCTCTATTTATTTACAAATGTGGTTTCATTTGTTGTAATTGGGCCTTGGGCCAAGATTGGGGGGAGGGGATTTGAGTGCTTAGGGAAATTTTCCTAGAGGAGATGGTACCTGATGGGGGCCCTTAAAGGCTGAGAAGCAACTTTCCCACTCAGCAAACTCCAACCTGAGAATTCATGGCCAGATTGCTTTTGGGGGTAGTGGGAGACCCTGAGGCCCATGACAAATAAAAGGTGTCCTCTGTCTTCCCAGAGCTTCCTAGAAATGATGAATTGTAACATGCTGTCAATGATTCAGGTGAGACTGAGGCAGAAGAGACACAGGAAGCATCTTTGGCAGGGGATGCAAGGGAGT